ATGAAAAATAATTTTCACATGCGTGAAACTTTTTTGTATGCTTGCAAAGCACAGCCTGCTGGGATGTTTCTATGTATCTACTGGCACCAGAAGGGCTCTTTAGGACTAAGTACATACAGTACATGTGTGCACAGTATGAGCAGGTGAAATGTCTGTCTAGCTTACATATGAGGTGTCTCAAGATTTAGGAACATACAATTTTATTGAATATAATAACAGTAAAAAGTCACTTGACATGCTGCTGTTTTGTGCTATGACCTATTTAAGTGTTGGAAGTTGTTATTTATGTGACAACACCTAAACGCAACACAAGCTCAGCATGAGTGCCGTGCTACACTGCGAGCAGCGTGTTTGTGCGTAACAGCAGTCTGTTGGTTATTTACACACTGTCCATAACAATAACTTTGTCAGCTGACAAACTGCACCGGGCTCGGGGTCAGGTTTGGTCAGGAAAATGTGGCCCAAGCCGCTCTAGCGTGCTCACCTGTGTGTGTCTGGTGGAACTCCGCCGTGCGCAATACAGAGAGCAGAGGAGAATTGTTAACGCGTGACCATGTAGAGACAGAAATGACACGATGACAAGACACGATGACATAACACCATAAATAGTATATTGTTATGTTATTATATGAAGCGTCCGTCGTGCAAAATAATATCAATGGGGGCTGTGGGCAGGACATTGTTACACAGCTGTGCCTGTGACTTCAGGCAGAGAGACCGCTGCATCAGAGCCGAAGAGCACGTTTTAAAATACATTTATTTTGTCAATTAATTGTTAACTTTTACTATTTTTAGCAACTTGCCCGATTGGGCAAGTGAGTTGTTAGTTTACATGCCCGACCGTGAGTTTTACTTGCCCCGGGCAATCGGGCAATCCTTATTGTTGAGCCCTGCTGTGTGTGATGACCCTGTGACCTCTGACCTCTGTGTGTGATGACCCTGTGATGTCTGACCTGTGTGTGATGACCCTGTGATCTCTGACCTGTGTGTGATGACCCTGTGACCTCTGACCTCTGTGTGTGATGACCCTGTGACCTCTGACCTGTGTGTGATGACCCTGTGATCTCTGACCTGTGTGTGATGACCCTGTGATGTCTGACCTCTGTGTGTGATGACCCTGTGACCTCTGACCTGTGTGTGATGACCCTGTGATCTCTGACCTGTGTGTGGTGACCTCTGACCTCTGTGTGTGATGACCCTGTGATGTCTGACCTGTGTGTGATGACCCTGTGATGTCTGACCTGTGTGTGATGACCCTGTGACCTCTGACCTGTGTGATGACCCTGTGATCTCGGACCTCTGTGTGTGATGACCCTGTGACCTCTGACCTGTGTGTGATGACCCTGTGACCTCTGACCTGTGTGTGGTGACCTCTGACCTCTGTGTGTGATGACCCTGTGATCTCTGACCTGTGTGTGATGACCCTGTGATGTCTGACCTCTGCATGTAATGACCCTGTGACCTCTGTATGGTGACCCTGTGACCTCTGAGTGTGATGACCGTGTGACCTCTGTATGGTGACCCTGTGACCTCTGACCCCTGCTGTGTTTTCCCTCCACACTCACCTTCTTCATGATGCCGGTCTTCCTCTTGCTAAAAGTTGTGTACCGCCTCAGTTTGTTGTCGATGAACTCCATCTTGATCTTGACTCTTCCTCTGGTTTTCTTGCCGGGTTTGGCTCCCGGCACCCCGGGGCTGACCCCGCCGTAACCCCCGCTCAGGCCTCCGGAGGTGGGCGCTGACTGGTGTCCGAGCTCCCTCTCGCTCCTCTCCCGCTTCACGCCCCTCCTGTCCCCCCCTGACCCTGCCGTGTCCTCGTCGTCCACGGAGTCCGAGTCCTGGTCGGAGCCGCTGTAGACCACCTCGGTGCTGTATTCCCTCTCTTCAAACCGGCCTCCGTCGGTGTCGGTGGCTGCGTTCGGTCCCGGTCCGGCCGTGCTGATCCCGGTTCCGTTTCCCGCTCGCCCGGCTCCGGTTCTGGAGCCCATTCCGGCGCCGCTTCCCGCCAGCATCCCCCGCTGGATCCCACCGCCCCGGGCCTGAAAACCTCCTCCTTCCGGCGAGCCAAAGCTCCTGTGCCGGCGGTGTGAAGACCGACAGTCCCCCGGTGCTCCGAGCTCCCAGTCCGGGCACACTCAGCTAACAGGACCGCTAGCTGCACGGCTAACTGAGCTAACTGCTACATGCAGCAGCAGCTAGCATCAGTTAGCGGTTGCTTTAGCAACAAATAAAGCTACCTGTCCATCAGATCCGTCAGTGAGCGCAAGATCCGGCCGATCAGTCGGAGAACGTCAGAGGAACCCGGAGAAAATGTCCGGTGCGTCAGATTTGATCCAGTTTGATCACAATCAGTGAATAAAGTTAAAAAGTTGTGTTTGTGAACAGTGATCAGTGAGGCCCGGCCCCCGAATCACTCCGCTCCACATAAGGACATCACCTGACAGCACCCGCACATATCCGTCCGCTGTGGAACATAGCTCTACAGACTGTACGCAGCTCGTTCACTGTGCTTCTTTGGAACATCACACATGTTGTCAGACATGTTACAGTCATGTGTTCTACACGTCATGAGACTGAAATACTGTGCTGTTAACGGAGGATGAGCGCAGTGATACCAAAAGGCGACGTGTTCTTTCGGACATGCAGCGGAACTACTTTCCTCCATATAAAGAAGCACGTTTCCTTTTATGGCGCTGCCGCTCCTTATATGGTCAATCTGAACTTCAGCCTGCAAACTACAAACACGTGGAGAGAAGAAGTAGAAGAAGAAGAAGAAGAAGAAGAAGACAACAACAACAGGAGGAGGAGGAGGATAGGTCAGGTCAGGTCAGGTCACATCCCGGAGTCTCTGCGGGGCTTGAGTCATGTTGGGTTTGTTCAGGCACCAAGAGCCAATGAGAGCTCCGTGGAGACCAGAGGGGTATTCCAGGTAGGAGGTTCAACAAACTCTGAGTCGAAAGCTGAATTCTGAGTTGATTTACTCTGAGATGGGAAACTCTGAGTTACCGGTTCCAGAACAGCTGATCTGAGTTAGTTCAGTCAGCTCTGAGTATGTTCACTCTGAGTTAAGCCGACAATAAAAAGCCATCATCAATGGAGCTCCGACTCCACGATTCACCATGGCAACAGGTAAATAAAAGACAGCGCCTCCATTTTAATCCAGTGGATGTAGAGATATTAATGCATGTGTAGCAGACGGTGCACGTTTATCTTTAAAAGAAGAGCCTGAGTCAGAGCGAGGAAAGTGTCAATAAGTTAACCATAAAGTTAATAAAAAAGTTTACTCATCATTTATCAGACTTACATTTCCTTAATGAAGATAAAGTGGTGGAATCTGACTGTGTATCAGGCTGTAGATACATTACATTATATTAATAATATACAATAATATATTTGTTCAGATTTAATCTGATGGGGAAAAACACAGGAGGCAGAAGATTTAAAACATATAGGCTAGGCTATAGATCAAAGACATAAAGACATGACTGTAAACTCACAGTCTGACCCAGTAATAATATGTTTGGTGATTTGCACTTGAAAAGACGTTGAGGTTAAAATACAGTAGATTTTAAAATGTTGCACATCTATTTGTATCTTGACTCAACAGCATTCAGTGACTTTATTTCAGCTACAAATGTAGTAAATGTAAAGACAGTGAAATGCTGCACCATTGCTCACTCAGAAATATGAACATATAATCCCCAATATTAGGCTATAGGAATTATGTTCCATCAGTGCGACCAATGACATCAGTGACAGAGATCATTAGTCATTGATACTACGTGTCTAAAGCTTCATACCCATTTTTAAAATGTAAATAATTAGACCTACACATTATGTGCAATAAACATTTGGGAGCTGCTCTGACAGACTGACAGTCTGATCCTTGTGCACAGTGTTATAAAAATAATAAATATAAAAAGGACAGAGGTTTGATTCTGAGCTGAGGGTGAATTCTCGCTGTGTAATATTTGAATGTAAAGACAAAAACTGATGTCCAAAGAAATGACTGATGTGCATAAATTCAGTAACTTAAGACAGTCCTGAGTAACAAACTAATATCCAGCAGGATTTAGACTGTGACAGACGGTAAATCTCCGCTAATGAATGCGCTTCCATACAAGCTTTGACACGGACTGAATGAATGAGGAAATGAAACAGCGTGTAAGAGGGAGGAGACAGAGAAACACTCAGGGTTTATTGAAGGAAACCTGTCAGCGAGCAGGTTATGTTCACAGAGTCTGTTACCATGGTGACTGACTCAGAGTTTCCCTCATTTCAGGGTTAACACACTCAGAGTTTTCACTAAACCTGCTTTCTGGAACACCCCTCTGACTCTGTGGCTTCATCAGGAACACACACACACACACACACACACACACACACACACAGTGAGAGAGAGAGCTCCATCACCAATGAAGCACACACTGCTTTACTTACATACATACCATAGTACAGTAGCAGAGGTCTTCAACAGGAAGTACTGCAGAGGGGTCGTGACATTTTTGGTTGATTAGACAATTTTTTTCAAATATTTTTTCCCCATTTTTTTTCCCACAAATTATAATGTCTTTAAATACACATTAACATGAATCCAACATGTTGTAGCAAATGGACAAATGGAGACAGAAGATGTTGTGTTTCAGTCAGAAATGCACACATCCAGCTACACACAGGAGCTCTCTCAAACTGGGCACCGCTTCACTCACGGCCCCTAACGCTGCTCTGCCAATCACACTGCCGCATGTTACATGCTGGCTCTGTCAGGTTCCCCGTGATTGGCCGAGAGCCTATTCAGTCCCCAGTCGTGTTGTCAAAAGACACTAGAGCTTGTATGGATGTAGATATCAACTTGCACGGGTATCGATACTGACAGTGCCATCCTTTGATCCAGCCGACTGTGACCGTATCACACAGGCACCGCTGCAGACAGGCAGGCACCGCTCACTTCACCGCAGCAGCCCCGACCTGGACGCACGCACACACACACACACACACACACACACACGACGTGAACATGGGAAGTACAAGCAGTAAAGCTCCCGTTTAAACATGTAAGGCCCGGGCAGGGGCCGGTACCGAGACCCGGTGTTAAACAGCCCGAGGCTAATTTAATCAAGACCGTCATACTAGTAAGGTCCGACGTTACCGGCTCTTATTGTTACTTTTTAAAGTTTGGGTTTCATGCATCAGCATTCTGCAGCCACACACACACACACACACACACACACACACACACACACACACACACACACACGACAGAGTGAAGTCAGACATCAGCAGAAAGGTGCAGATGAGTATAACTTACTCTTGTTGACAACAACTGTGCTTGTTACTGTGAGTCAGTGCAATAAAACCTCTGCCAATAAAAAGCCAATACTTTATCAATACATGTGATCAGCATGTAGAAAGCCATATTTAAATCAGCTCTGTCCGCAGTCTCTCATTCACCGCTGTTATGGTTTATGATCGCGCTTGGGGGCCAACAGCACACTGTGAAAAGACAAAGTATGAAAGATGCAGAGAGAGAGAGTGTGTGTGTGTGTGTGTGTGTGAGAGTGAGTGCGTGCGTGTGTGCGTGCGTGTGTGCGTGCGTGTGTGTGTGTGTGTTGATAGATGCTGTTAATGTCACTTGTTTATGTTGCTTCTGTGCACTGATTGCTCTTTTTATTGTTTCTGTGTTATTTTGAGGAGGGCCATGCATGAATATCTGTCTGTCTGTCTGTCTGTCTATATGCTAAAAAAAAAAAAGTGGACCTGTCGCTTGCTGCTCAGAATGTGGCCCATCGACATGATCTGGTTTTAAAATCCGTCCCAGCTGAAACAGTAATTGCAGAGCCCTGACCCAAAGACTGTGTTGTTGCTGTTATTTTTGTGATGTTCTGACTTTTATTTGTTCTCTCTTTCTTGAAAATAGTCTTGAGTACCATCCTTAGCATCGTGACAACACTAGCACTTAGAGGCCATCACTCACTTTTGTTTCCACATTTATGTTTAAAATAGAAACGTCAGTTTGAATAGCTTGATTATCATGCAGTTGACAGACAGCGTTGGTATCAGCTGACAAGATATGTTTATACATGGCAGTGGCAAGGCCCCCCACTCACTGTGCCTTGCACATGTTTAAAATAAAAACATGAATGTATGAACCTGTGTATTATTTGAATAGCTCAGTACTGAATGCATAATAACAAGGTACGTTTATACATGTTACCAGGCCCAGTTTAATATAAAACACAATTTAATATACAGTAGATATATGGTAGGGGGTCCCTGCTCCATCTCTCCATCAGTTTGGGGCTCCTTGGCCTGAAACACGTCCTCTGCATTATGGTATGAAGTACAGTAGAAGAAGAGAGGTTAACAGTCAGACAGTGTTTGTGACATCATCCATCAATCAGCCAATCAGACACCTGCTGTTTGCTGGTGTACTGCCAGCCCACCTGCTGCTGAGCTCAGAGCTGAACCAGGATCAGGTGTCTATATTTACCTGAGATTATGAGACAGACTTCCTGTCAGAGAGCTGCCAACCGTCAGAGCAGCAACATGTCCACATTGTCTTCATCATCTTCATCGTTCAGCAGCGGCTTTGCTGGGCCGCCCCCCCCCTGGAGGAACAACAGCCTGCTGCTGGGGGGGGGGCGGGACCCCCCTCTGTCTGACCAGGGAGAGACCATCATAGGAGTGTACCTGCTGCTGCTGGGTGGGTACACACACACACACACACACACACACACACACACACACACACACACACACACTGACAGTCTGTCTCTGGTGCTTTCAGGTTGGTTGTCCTGGTTTGGAAACAGCATCGTCCTCTTCGTCCTGTATAGACAGAGAGCCGTCCTGCAGCCCACTGACTACCTGACCTTTAACCTGGCCGTCTCCGATGCCAGCATCTCCGTGTTCGGATACTCCAGAGGCATCATTGAAATCTTCAGTGTCTTCCAGGACACCGACTACCTCATCTCCTCCATCTGGACCTGCCAGGTACCAAACACGTTCACCTGTCTCCTGTCCTCACCTGTCACCACCTGTCCTCACCTGTCACCTGTCTCCTGTCCTCACCTGTCACCTGTCCTTACCTGTCACCTGTCACCTGTCCTCACCTGTCTCTTGTCCTCACCTGTCCTCACCTGTTCTCACCTGTCACCAGTCCTCACCTGTCACCTGTCCTCACCTGTCTCCTGTCCTCACATGTCAGCTATCCTCACATGTCACCTGTCCTCACCTGTCTCCTGTCCTCACCTGTCACCTGTCCTCACCTGTCCTCACCTGTCCTCACCTGTCCTCACCTGTCACCTGTCCTCACCTGTCTCGTGTCCTCACCTGTCACCAGTCCTTACCTGTCACCTGTCCTCTCCTGTCACCTGTCCTCACCTGTCACCTGTCCTCACCTGTCTCCTGTCCTCACCTGTCACCTGTCCTCGCCTGTCACCGGTCTTCACCTGTCTCCTGTCCTCACCTGTCCTCACATGTCACCTGTCCTCACATGTCACCTGTCCTCACCTGTCTCCTGTCCTCACCTGTCACCTTTCCTCACCTGTCTCCTGTCCTCACCTGTCTCCTGTCCTCACCTGTCACCTGTCCTCACCTGTCACCTGTCCTCACCTGTCACCTGTCCTCACCTGTCTCCTGTCCTCACCTGTCACCTGTCCTCACCTGTCACCGGTCCTCACCTGTCTCCTGTCCTCACCTGTCACCTGTCCTCACCTGTCACCTGTCCTCACCTGTCACCTGTCCTCACCTGTCTCCTGTCCTCACCTGTCACCTGTCCTCACCTGTCACCTGTCCTCACCTGTCTCCTGTCCTCACCTGTCACCTGTCCTCACCTGTCACCTGTCCTCACCTGTCTCCTGTCCTCACCTGTCACCTGTCCTCACCTGTCACCTGTCCTCACCTGTCTCCTGTCCTCACCTGTCACCTGTCCTCACCTGTCACCTGTCCTCACCTGTCACCTGTCCTCACCTGTCTCCTGTCCTCACCTGTCACCTGTCCTCACCTGTCACCTGTCCTCACCTGTCACCTGTCCTCACCTGTCTCCTGTCCTCACCTGTCACCTGTCCTCACCTGTCACCTGTCCTCACCTGTCACCTGTCCTCACCTGTCTCCTGTCCTCACCTGTCACCTGTCCTCACCTGTCACCTGTCCTCACCTGTCACCTGTCCTCACCTGTCTCCTGTCCTCACCTGTCACCTGTCCTCACCTGTCACCTGTCCTCACCTGTCACCTGTCCTCACCTGTCTCCTGTCCTCACCTGTCACCTGTCCTCACCTGTCACCTGTCCTCACCTGTCACCTGTCCTCACCTGTCTCCTGTCCTCACCTGTCACCTGTCCTCACCTGTCACCTGTCCTCACCTGTCACCTGTCCTCACCTGTCTCCTGTCCTCACCTGTCACCTGTCCTCACCTGTCACCTGTCCTCACCTGTCTCCTGTCCTCACCTGTCACCTGTCCTCACCTGTCACCTGTCCTCACCTGTCACCTGTCCTCACCTGTCTCCTGTCCTCACCTGTCACCTGTCCTCACCTGTCACCTGTCCTCACCTGTCTCCTGTCCTCACCTGTCACCTGTCCTCACCTGTCACCTGTCCTCACCTGTCACCTGTCCTCACCTGTCTCCTGTCCTCACCTGTCACCTGTCCTCACCTGTCACCTGTCCTCACCTGTCTCCTGTCCTCACCTGTCACCTGTCCTCACCTGTCACCTGTCCTCACCTGTCACCTGTCCTCACCTGTCTCCTGTCCTCACCTGTCACCTGTCCTCACCTGTCACCTGTCCTCACCTGTCTCCTGTCCTCACCTGTCACCTGTCCTCACCTGTCACCTGTCCTCACCTGTCACCTGTCCTCACCTGTCTCCTGTCCTCACCTGTCACCTGTCCTCACCTGTCACCTGTCCTCACCTGTCTCCTGTCCTCACCTGTCACCTGTCCTCACCTGTCACCTGTCCTCACCTGTCTCCTGTCCTCACCTGTCACCTGTCCTCGCCTGTCACCGGTCTTCACCTGTCTCCTGTCCTCACCTGTCCTCTGACATTCACCTGTCTTCTGTCCTCACCTGTCACCTGTCTGCTGTCCTCACCTGTCACCTGACATTCACCTATATCCTGTGCTCACCTGTCTCCTGTCCTCACCCGTCACCTGACATTCACCTGTCTCCTGTCCTCACCTGTCACCTGTCTGCTGTCCTCACCTGTCACCTGACATTCACCTATATCCTGTGCTCACCTGTCTCCTGTCCTCACCCGTCACCTGACATTCACCTGTCACCTGTCCTCACCCGTCACCTGACATTCACCTATATCCTGTCCTCACCCGTCACCTGACATTCACCTATATCCTGTCCTCACCTGTCACCTGACATTCACCTATATCCTGTGCTCACCTGACACCTGTCCTGTCTCCTCCAGGTGGACGGATTCTTCACGCTGGTGTTCGGTCTGAGCAGCATCAACACACTGACAGTGATCAGCATTACCCGCTACATCAAAGGCTGTCACCCGAGCAGAGGTCAGAGGTCACAGCGCCACCTGTAGGCTTCAGGCTCAGATAAGACCTGCAGATGAAATGTTTAAATGTTTGACCTTTAACCCTGCTCAGAGCTCGATGTTCACCTGTGGATAGTTTCCTATTTCACAATCCCCCATCAGGCTGGTTGGAAGGTGTGTGCGAGTGCTGCTCGAGTAATTCCACAACGATCAGCCAGACGGGGGCGCCACAATTAAAGCCCAAAAATGTAATTTTGGAAAGGCCACGTCCCTCACACCATAACTAAGCTCTATAAAAACACCCAGTGCCACTAAACTCCGCCCACTAGATTTTCAGCCATTTTGATTTAGACCATGAGTCCGATTTGTACCAAACTTCCAGTAGATCTTAGTCGGACCGACTTCATCAGACGTCATCAAAAACTTGTTGATATCCCATTTTGTTTTGATGATATTGACCAATGAACTTTAGAGGGGGCTTGGCTCAGCACATTAATAAATGTAACTCAATGACTGTCGAGCCAATCACCCCCTAAACTTATGTTTACATCAGTACCTCAAACACACCCTGAAAGTTCCAATCAAATCTAGTGGGCACTACAGATGCAAAAAAAATAGGTGTGGCATAAACACAAATCAACCGTCCAATCAAAACAAAACTTTCAGGATATCTGAAATTATAATGTAAATTATTTTGTAACTCATCAGTAGGGGGCGCCACCAGTTCAAAAAACTCACCAAACTCAGTGGATGTTTTTAACAAAGCCCTGAAAACATGTCCCCAAAATGTTTCTGCAACTGACCAATAGGAAGCCAGAGTGGAGACAAAGAGGGGTGTGGCCCAGGGCAGGTTTGGTGGTAAAGGAGTGAGTGTCTGTCGGATCATCATAAAACCTGAAGGTCACCGTCAGCCATCACAGAGCTGGATTCTCTGCAGACTGATGGTTCAATTCAATTTCAATTTTATTTATAAAGCCCAATATCACAAATCACAATTTGCCTCACAGGGCTTTACAGCATACGACATCCCTCTGTCCTTATGACCCTCACAGCAGATAAGGAAAACCTCCTGCTGGTTCAAACCCAAAGTCTCTGCTTGCAGTTATATTTTTTTCTACGTGTCATCTCATAATATTATGTCTAAATGTAACCCCCTAAATCCCTCTCTCACTTACTCACAACAAGTTAAAGAACGAAACACACTGTCTGTAGTTTATGACGACACTTGGCGCCTGATCAGTAGGATGACATCACCACAAATCACTGTGGTTAAAGTTTTTACTCATCTGTTGAGGTCTCAGTGTTTCCTCATGTGAGCACCAGAGGGCGCCGTCACTCAGCATTATCCCAGAGATGTTTCTGTTGGAGTCTGTGATGTCACCTGTCCTCACCTGTCACCACCAAGTCATGTGATGTATAAAGCAGCGTGTTTGTTATGTTTCAGCGCGTCACATCAGCAGGACCAGCGTCTCCGTCTGTCTGCTGCTCATCTGGATCACAGCTGGATTCTGGTCTGGAGCGCCGCTGCTCGGCTGGGGCAGCTACAAAGGCAGGAAACCGACCACATAAGATTCAGTTTGTAGCTCCGCCTCCACTGACCTCTAACCTTTGACCTCTGACCCCTCTGTGCAGACCGAGGCTACGGGACCTGCGAGATCGACTGGGTCAAAGCCAACTATTCCAGTGCCTACAGGTCCTACATCATCTGCATCTTCATCTTCTGCTTCTTCGTCCCGGTGCTCATCATGCTCTTCTGCTACGTCTCCATCATCAACACGGTGAAGAGAGGAAACGCTCTGTCGTCAGAGGGCGACCTGACCGACCGCCAGAGGAAGATGGAGAGGGACGTCACCATAGTGAGTGTTGGTCAGCTTCATCATCACACAGCTGATCTGACACGCGTCCAACAAGCTCTGCACAAGGCTACGCTAATGCTACAGCTAACAGGCCCGTGTGTGAAGCTGTCACATCAATACTGATCAGCTGATCAGCTGATTGGTGTTGATCAATAAATGCTGATCAGCTGATTGGTGTTGATCTGTCCGTCACATTTCTGACAGCTCAGAGAGCTTGTGAGTTAACTCAAGGTACGACAGTAAACATCACAGGCTAAGCTAGCAAAACGGCTACATGCTAACATCCATGAAAAGTAAACAGAAGGGTGGAGTCAAGTCTCGTGACTTGGACTCAAGTCAGACTCGAGTCACAAATTCATTGACTTTCAGCTCGACTTAACAAAATTAGAAAGGACTTGCATCTTGACTCGGACTGCATCACCAATGACTCAAGACTTCACTTGGAGTCGAGCCTCTCTTGTCATTCTTGACTCAGGACTTGACTTGGGACTTGTTAGTCTTGACTTGGGACTGATTGGCCTTGACTCAGGACTTGACTTGGGACTTGTTAGTCTTGACTTGGGACTGATCGGCCTTGACTCAGGACTTGTCAGTCTTGACTCGGGACTTCTTTCTTTCTTTCTTTATTTATTTGGATCCCCATTAGCTTCCACCTCAGCGGTTGCTAATCTTCTTGGGGTCCACAAAAAAATCAAATCATTACAAACACTAATATAAAAACATGTCAGTTATACAGACACTGACTGACACCTTGTCAGTCTAGACAAAGCTACAAATTAAAACAAACTAATCAAAGTGACATATAACTTAAAGGAGCAATAAGCGAAATTCATCATTTCTAGATTGAAGGAATTAAAAAATTGCTATGTGAAGAACTAGAGGTGTAATTTCATCTGGAGTATAGCATGACCTCACACACCCTCTCTCTGTGTTGATCTCCAGCCCCTTGTTTACAAGCCGGTCCGGCTGCGCGTTCATGTATGTTCA